CCCGACTGAAATCTGGTATACTTTTTAGCCACAGACCGTCGTGGCTAAAAAGTATACTGAAATCTGGTATACTTTTTAGCCACAGACCGTCGTGGCTAAAAAGTATACTGAAATCTGATATACTTTTTAGCCACAGACTGGCGTGGCTAAAAAGTATACTGAAATCTGGTATACTTTTTAGCCACAGACTGCCGTGGCTAAAAAGTATACTAAATCTGGTATACTTTTTAGCCACAGACCGTCGTGGCTAAAAAGTATACTGAAATCTGATATACTTTTTAGCCACAGACTGCCGTGGCTAAAAAGTATACTGAAATCTGGTATTCTATTTAGCCACAGACTGGCGTGGCTAAAAAGTATACTGAAATCTGGTATACTTTTTAGCCACAGACTGCCGTGGCTAAAAGTATACTCAAATCTGGTATACTTTTTAGCCACAGACCGCCGTGGCTAAAAAGTATACTGAAATCTGGTATATTTTTTAGCCACAGACTGTGTGGCTAAAAATATACTGAAATCTGGTATACTTTTTAGCCACAGACTGCCGTGGCTAAAAGTATACTCAAATCTGGTATACTTTTTAGCCACAGACATTTTTTAGCCACAGACTGTGTGGCTAAAAATATACTGAAATCTGGTATACTTTTTAGCCACAGACTGCCGTGGCTAAAAGTATACTCAAATCTGGTATACTTTTTAGCCACAGACCGCCGTGGCTAAAAAGTATACTGAAATCTGGTATATTTTTTAGCCACAGACTGTGTGGCTAAAAATATACTGAAATCTGGTATACTTTTTAGCCACAGACTGCCGTATCTAAAAAGTATACTGAAATCTGGTATACTTTTTAGAGGGCCCCCTATACTTTTTGCGTGAAGCGTGAAGGGCTTATTTTACTTAGCCGTGAAACGTGATCGGGTTCCCTATACTTTTTGTGTGAAGCGTGAAGGGCCTATTTTACTTAGCCGTGAAACGTGATCGATGATTATCTTAATCCGTGACTCGTGAAAAGGCAAAATATTTTTACGTGAAAGCATATTGTGAAGAGGTATAGGGGGCCCTCTTTTTAGCCACAGACTGCCGTGGCTAAAAAGTATACTGAAATCTGGTATACTTTTTAGCCACAGACTGGCGTGGCTAAAAAGTATACTGAAATCTGGTATACTTTTTAGCCACAGACTGTGTGGCTAAAAATATACTGAAATCTGGTATACTTTTTAGCCACAGACTGCCGTGGCTAAAAAGTATACTGAAATCTGGTATACTTTTTAGCCACAGACCGTCGTGGCTAAAACGTATACTGAAATCTGGTATACTTTTTAGCCACAGACGGCCGTGGCTAAGAAGTATACTGAAATCTGTCTGTTTGTGCGCTTGTTAGACGGTAAGTGTCTGTTTGTCGAACCATTGGCCTGTCTGTTTGTGCGTTTGTTCGCGCCAACAAACGGACAAACAGATGGCCGCAGATTTTATCGCTATATTGACGCGAACTATATGACGACAAAACGTCGAGCCGTACTTTGTCGAAAACAAGATGGCCGCTTTTAGACTGCTTCAAAAAATTGGTCGAAAAAATCTGATTTCTTCCTCTATTCGACCTTTATTTACTCAAGGTAGATTGGGTGAGTATCTTTCTGTAATTCGTTATTAATATTAAAACAAAATGAACTTTCAATGTGTTTTTGTAGGTGTATTTGTTTGCATTTTTTTGTAATGAATTTTGGTGTAAATTTTTTATATTTGTGTCGAGTCGCTGTGGTTTTCTGCCTGGATGTGTTTCATGTATAACAGCCAGTTCGAGTTGGGCGTCTGTTATTGCTGCCTGGCATTTTCCTTTTGTTTTTTTTTTTTGCAGCTTGATTTTTGCAGTTTTACTCATTCTAATAGTCTCTTTCTAGCTGCACAGTGTTGGATTTCGTTTTTCTTGCCTTGATCAAAATTTAGTCTATAGGGGGCAGTCAACAAATAGATTTTGTCCGCCAATTGCGGACTTGTTCAGCAACTGATTCGACCCCTCCCCCATCTCGGACCAATCCAACGATTTTTTAGCCAGAAAAGTAACCTCCCCCCATTGTGGAAAAAGTCTGTGATCGGTGGACAGAATCTATTTGTTGACGGCCCCTAGCTGGAATTGCCCATTGCGACTCAACTTGTATAAACATTGCTGATTTGCTTTTTGAATTTATAGCATCCAGTCAGGCAGAGAAATCAGAGTGGCCTGATGATGGTCTGGGTCTCGGTAGTTATCCCAATCTACCGGACATCTCGGCACAGACGAAGGCGCCCCATGGCTGGTGGGATATACAAGAACGTAGAAATTTTGGTGACACAGTAAGGATATGACCCTCGTTAGAATGCTTCCTAAGGCCACATAAAAAAAATAGTTGGTTAGCGTCCTTGCCCGCCCACAAAAAAGGCCCCGCTCAGGGTGTTTTTTTTTAATTTAAACAAACACCCAACTTTTATTGATCAACAGGCTCTAATATATGTGTATTTCTGTTGACTGTAGTCAATTGTGTTAATACGTTGCGAAATTGCGTGCGAAAATGACGGTATGAATCATATTTTGAAATATATAAAAAAATATCTGTACTGCGCAAGAAAATCCAGCTTCGGACCTAAAACCAAGGCGTTAAAAATTAGTAAAATTTTAAAAAAAGCGCCCACCCACCCACTTTTTGGCAAAAGCTAAGGACGCTAACCAACTCTTTTTTTATGTGGCCTAATATTCAGCAAATTTATCCCATCACTAACAAATTCCATGACTTATGTACACTATATGTACCTATTTTTATTGTTTTTAGCTTCACGAATCAGATGACGCCCTAAACGTTTGGATGTACGATGCTCCAGAGAAAAGTTTATATCCACCGTAAGATAAATCATCCAATATTTCTGAAGACATTCAGACATTTGTTAGGTCATAGCAGTGGCATAACCAGCCCAACAATTTGGACCCGCTATGCAAATTTCAACTCATTATCTTTATTCATTTCTTTAAAAATTGATTGTATTGACAGTTTAGGCCAAAAAAAATATATGTGGGTTTCCGGTTTCTTCTTATAAAAACTTATGTAAGGTAAGTCGGTTTTAACTTCATTTTTTTAAACTTTTTTTTAAATTTTCCTAACAACCGGATGCCATTTTGTTTAGTGCTTCCATATCCAAAGATAAATGTCCCTAATATTGCCTCAAATTTCAATTTTCCACAAACTTTTTCCTCTAAGTGGAAACTCTTACAAGCATGATCCAATAAAAAAGTTCAGGGTCGGGATTTTGACGTCCAAAAGCTAGGTAGGGTCGGGAAACCGGAAACCCACATATTTTTTTTGCCTTATAAACCAGCAGGACTGAATAGTCGGGCTGGCTACGTCACTGGGTCTTAGCCTATTAAAGGCTGTGAAACTTATTAAAATAACCATATAACTCATTATCTATGTTGGTCAACTTGTATTCATTTATCTGGTTCTTCGCCGTCACATGCATATTATATTTTTGCCCAACTAACCAATAGCGGGGATGGATCCAGCATGATCTGGTAGGTGGGGGGGGATGCTCTGCCAGCTCTGGTGCCGAGTCGTGTCGGTCATGTGTGCCGCCCGCCCATCAACTTGCTTCACTACTGCAAAGTCTTGCTTGATTACTGTATGTTGTTCACAGTTCGCTTATCATCATGTTATTACTCAAATTACTGTATCTCATTTTGTCTCTAATAATTTTTTGCTTTATCATGAAAAATAGCACCCCTCCCCTGCACCCCCTCTGGCCAGGGTTAGGGGGGGTGCACCCACTAGCACCCTCCCCCCCAGTAAATCCATTTCTGACCAATAGCAATGTGTTAGGAAAGTTACATTGGAAATGCTATTGCTGCCGGGATTTGGCAAAAATACAATATGCACGTGATGGTGAAGGACCAGATTTATGAATAAACGTTGACTAACATAGATAATGCAGGCCTCGAATTTGAGATTAGAATGTTACTAAGTTTTCCAGGGCATCAAGGCCAGTAGTACACAGGGCATCAACATTCAAGGTCAGTTTGAAAATTTTATTCAGTTGCTATTTTGAAGTTTCAAATAACGTTTGAGTTTCCATGAGACAAGAAAAACATACAGAACAGCAACAATATTAAAAAAATGCCAAACAAAACTATGGATATTTTATTGTCGATTTCGTATTGCGTTTCAAAGCGCGGTTCCCAAGTTTGTTGTCAACTTGCCAATTACGTTTCCAAATTCGGAAGTTGGGCGGGAACTTCGCAACGAAGTTCGCAAGTTCATTTCAAAGTTCGAACTTCGATTGCAAACAAATGTAAAAATTTCATTTATAAATTTATTTCAAAAGGCATTTTTCGTCTTGGGAGACCACTGGACAATATTTTACTGCAGTAACATGTGCATAGGGCCTTATACAGTAATTTCAACTCCAACTATGCACAGTTGTTTACAATCAAAATTCGAACTTTGAAATGAACTTGCGAACTTCGTTGCGAAGTTCACGCCCAACTTCCGAACTTGACAACGTAATTGGCAAGTTCGCAACGAACTTGGGAACAGAGTGTCGTACCAGAAATCGACAATAATACATGATTCAACAGACAGACTGATGGAAAGGTGCATTTAAATACTATTTTAAATTTATTGCCAATTTTACAAATCATAGTCTTGGTATTCTAAAGCCTAAGTACTGTACTCTGTGGTTTAGGGCAGGCCACTACTGGCTGTGGATTTCAGTATATTTCGAGGGCATAGCGGCCAACAAGCAGGGCATCGACGGCCAGTCGCTAATTTCGAGGCCTGTTAATGAGTTATATTGTTATTCTAATGAGTTTCACAGCCATCTTCCTTTCGATAGGCTATGTTTGATACAAGAGCGAGAAAATTTAAATACAAGTCTGCTACATACAATGAAAAGAATGAACATTATTTTCTCGCTTTTATATCTGCGATAACTAAAATCCACCCACCACATCGCTTTCTTTTGTTTAGACACGAAGCGCTCCGTCATCTGTTGACGATGTTTGCGTTGGTTGGCGGTTTTATGTATATTGGCTATCTTTACGGCAAGACAGACAGCGGGAATAGAAATAAATATGTGAGTGTCGTGTGTCCTACCTTATTAACTCTATCTAATGCCACACAATCAGGGGCTGGTGTCTAATATCCCCCTAGAGAAATCCAGTACCACCCTGAATAATCTGCTTGGCCATACATTTTCTTCTTTTTGAACAGCGATTAGCAGAACTTCTACTGTTAGCGCGTGTCGATTTCTCAAAACGATTTAAATGATTTGTGAGCTCACGAGAAAATACTCAGAATGCTTTAGTTGAATATCATGGTTAAATATGTAAACATGTCGAGGTTGTTATACAGCCATATTTTCAAATATACTGTACTTTAACAAGCAAATTTACTGTACTGTGCTGCAGCAACTGTGCAGTCACGCATACGTGATAAAAAGGCAATATAAACTTTATAAATAAAAGATAATGTAAAACGTAACAGAACGGCGAACATGCAGATTCGGCCATCTCAAATAATGGTAATGTTGGGATAGTAGCGTTGCAGACTGCAGAGGAGAGTGGGCAGTAAGGCTCCCTCATGCACCACCCCATGGAAAACCTGCACCCCTCCTTGCAGATGAAGCTAGATCTGCCCCTGGACTCTATCAAGCCTGTTTAGTTTGAAAAGAGTACTAGACATTGTCTTTCTTTGTTTTTTAGACACCGAAACAGTTCCCTTATAATGATAATCATCATATCTATAAGGATGGCGACCCCACACAAAGACTTAAAATAAACTAAATGTTAAAAGATTATTTTGTAATGTAAATATATATTTGTCATTTGGTCAGAAACTTTAGTATATGTTGTGAAATTTTGTTAATTAAATAAAATTTAACACTTGATTTTGTGGTGTTTTGAATCTGATGTCTTCTCCAGTGAACCAGTATTAGAGCTTGTCCCATCGGCTCATTTTCGATTAATTAACAATTATTGAATGAGGTTGAGCACAATATGAAGAATTATCAAGCCCGAAGTTTGCCGTTATGAACCGAAGCCGAAGGCTGAGGTTGATAACGGCAAACTGAGGGCTTGATAATTCTTCATATTGTGCGAAAACCGAATTCAATAATTGTTTTATTATTTATTTAAAAAATTCAAAACAAACATTTGTATTTTATATGTATTAAGAAGAAAACAATTCCTTAGTCCTTCGGCAACCGTTGTTGCGTCATATCAATGGCGTCAGCGAGTCAATATGATTCTCGTCGTCATAGTAATATGGCGCAAACGCGTCCAAATTTTTTTTCATATTGACTCTTTGACGTCATTTTGCTAATATGAATGCGAAAAATCCGTATTTGGTTAGCCATTGAGTTGACATGACAATTTCACAGCTGGCTGTTAGCCAATCAGAAACCAGGAATTTTTTAAATAAATAATCATTGTCTCCCAACAATCGAGTCAGTATTTACGTTTGAAATTATTGTTTACTGAAGGTTATAATACGTAAAATATATCTTGGAGCAAGTCTGCCAACAAGTTGTGTTCGCACTGCTTGTCCCAAGTTGTCAACAAGTCCGATACAGTCATGATATAACAATATTGTCACAAACTTGTGTCGTCAACCTTGTAACATTCTTGTTATATCATGACTGTATCAGACTTGTTAGAACAACCTTGTAACATTCTTGTTATATCATGACTGTATCAGACTTGTTAGAACAACCTTGTAACATTCTTGTTATATCATGACTGTATCAGACTTGTTAGGACAACCTTGTAACATTCTTGTTATATCATGACTGTATCAGACTTCTTAGAACAACCTTGTAACATTCTTGTTATATCATGACGGTATCAGACTTGTTAAAACAACCTTGTAACATTCTTGTTATATCATGACTGTATCAGACTTGTTAAAACAACCTTGTAACATTCTTGTTATATCATGTCTGTATCAGACTTGTTAGAACAACCTTGGAACATTCTTGTTATATCATGACTGTATCAGACTTGTTAGAACAACCTTGTAATATTCTTGTTATATCATGACTGTATCAGACTTGTTAGAACAACCTTGTAATATTCTTGTTATATCATGATTGTATCAGACTTGTTAGAACAACCTTGTAACATTCTTGTTATATCATGACTGTATCAGACTTGTTAGAACAACCTTGTAACATTCTTGTTATATCATGACTGTATCAAACTTGTTAGAACAACCTTGTAACATTCTTGTTATATCATGACTGTATCAGACTTGTTAGAACAACCTTGTAACATTCTTGTTATGTCATGACTGTATCAGACTTGTTAGAACAACCTTGTAACATTCTTGCTATATCATGACTGTATCAGACTTGTTAGAACAACCTTGTAACATTCTTGTTATATCATGACTGTATCAAACTTGTTAGAACAACCTTGTAACATTCTTGTTATATCATGACGGTATCAGACTTGTTAAAACAACCTTGTAACATTCTTGTTATATCATGACTGTATCAGACTTGTTAGAACAACCTTGTAACAGTCTTGTTATATCATGACTGTATCAGACTTGTTAGAACAACCTTGTAATATTCTTGTTATATCATGATTGCATCAGACTTGTTAGAACAACCTTGTAATATTCTTGTTATATCATGACTGTATCAGACTTGTTAGAACAACCTTGTAACATTCTTGTTATATCATGACTGTATCAGACTTGTTAGAACAACCTTGTAATATTGTTGTTATATCATGATTGTATCAGACTTGTTAGAACAACCTTGTAATATTCTTGTTATATCATGACTGTATCACAAGTTCTGACAGCGTATCTAGTGAAATAGTGGCTACATGATATGATATAACTAATGGACGGGTATTCTGCAATTTAGCCCCAAGGGGCTCCAAGGGAAACGAATAGCTACCACGTTTTAAAATTGTCAATAAAATACAATTCTCCGATGAAGGTGTTCGAAGCGCCGCGTCGAACGTTGATGAGATGGTCTGTGACTGGGCGACTGCTCTCAAATCCCGTTGCCTCTACTTGACCCCTGCAAAGACCCCGTCTTAATATTGTAAGTATTTGATTATTGACAGATACCTTGAGCAAAAACATCAGCTAGTTCAAAGTTAATTTATAGCTTCCGTTTGATCCGGCAATCACAACGCGAGCGGCGCCTTTTTGATCCAAGAATTTGCACCATCATTTTCGAGTAAAAGTCTTATAGTAAAAGTCGTCTGACGTGATAATCATGTGGGCGAATAAATTCATTCTTGTTATATCATGACTGTGTCAGACTTGTTTATAGAACAACCTTGTCACATTCTTGGGCCATTAGAACAACCTTGTAAAATTCTTGTTATATCATGACTGTATCAGACTTGTTAGAACAACCTAATTGTAACATTCTTGTTATATCATGACTGTATCAGACTTGTTAGAACAACCTTGTAACATTCTTGTTATATCATGACTATATCAGACTTGTTAGAACAACCTTGGAACATTCTTGTTATATCATGACTGTATCAGACTTGTTAGAACAACCTTGTCACATTCTTGTTATATCATGACTGTATCAGACTTGTTAGAACAACCTTGTAACATTCTTGTTATATCATGACTGTATCAGACTTGTTAGAACAACCTTGTAACATTCTTGTTATATCATGACTGTATCAAACTTGTTGGAACAACCTTGTAACATTCTTGTTATATCATGACTGTATCAGACTTGTTAGAACAACCTTGTAACATTCTTGCTATATCATGACTGTATCAGACTTGTTAGAACAACCTTGTAACATTCTTGTTATATCATGACTGTATCAAACTTGTTAGAACAACCTTGTAACATTCTTGTTATATCATGACTGTATCAGACTTGTTAGAACAACCTTGTAATATTCTTGTTATATCATGATTGTATCAGACTTGTTAGAACAACCTTGTAACATTCTTGTTATATCATGACTGTATCAGACTTGTTAGAACAACCTTGTAACATTCTTGTTATATCATGACTGTATCAAACTTGTTAGAACAACCCCCCCCCCCCCCCCCCGCCATAAATAATGACCGCTCCTTAATGCGCATGCCTAGTTACCACTGTTCAGATAATGTAAGCATAGAATGAAACTAAGGTAAGCATTTCAATTATATATGTGAGTGAATTGGGACTCAACTTGCATAAACATTGCTGATTTGCTTTTTGACTTTATAGCATCCAGTCAGTCAGAGAGATCAGAGTGGCCTGATGATGGCCTGGGACTTGATAGTTATGCCAACCTATCGGACGTCTCGGCGCAGACGAAGGCGCCCAATGGCTCTTGGGATACACAAGAACGAAGAAATTTTGGTGATACGGTAAGGTGATACGGTAATTAAAACACTTCCTAATGTTTAGCAAATTTATCCCATCACTAACAAATTCCATGACTTATGTACACTATGTACCTATTTTTATTGTTTTTAGCTTCACGAATCCGATGATGCCCTAAACGTTTGGATGTACGACGCTCCGGAGAAAAGTTTATATCCACCGTAAGATAAATATACTCAAATTTTTAAATTTTTGATACATTTCTCAAGCGACAAACAAACTTAAAAAGTATGTTTAGTGCTTAATCTGTAAAATTATGCTAAAATGAAGAGATTTTAGATGGTACGCCAAAGAGAAAATAATGTCTGAAGTTCAGTAAGTTTTGCTTATATTGCTGTATAAATATGGCGTCAATTTTACAGCATCAATGATAATTGTATTTAAATTGACAATATTTAACTATTATTTTGTGTTTCTCAACCGCCAGATACATTTAAAAAGTTGCTAACTGTGTAAACTACAAAATAAAGCTAAAATAACAATTGAAGACCACCAATTACAATGAACCATTTCCCAGTCTAGTCGCGCGAATCCCGTGTTGGAGGGACAAGAAATATGGCAGCACACATTTAAATTAAATGTTTAATGTAAAGAGGAGATATTTCATTTTTGGTCGTCTAAAATGTTGATATTTGATAGTAGATACTCGTTCTACTCTTTCACATATTTGACGCCATATATTTTGTCTCTCCAAACGATCCCAGAACGCACTGTGGTTTCGTTTGGGAAAAGGCTAATTAAGACTACTACATACAGTGAAAAGAATGCCATTATTTTCAATTCTCACACTGGTAACTGCAAGTTGACCACCATCAGCTCCGCGATAGTGCTGAGTGAACTCTACCCTCGGCATCGCTTTCTTTTGTTTAGACACGAAGCGTTCCCACATCTGTTGAAAATGTTTGCGTTGGTTGGCGGTTTTATGTATGTTGGCTACCTTTACGGCAAGACGAACAATGAGAATACGTGAGTGTAATGTGTCCTACCTTACCGTTTAACTCTATCTAATCAGGGCCGTAGCTAGCGCTAGACACGATAATTGGGGG